GTTTCTAATTGTCTTTATTGCCTCTAATAATTATTAGATGCTTGCTTTTAAGTCTTCTTCCATTTATACGTCCTCCAAATAGCATCTACTTTAAGTAAAAGCCAAGTGTGTATGTACACGTATATGTATATATAGATATATAAAATCGCATGAAATTAAGAGACAACTTTGGTGGAATAAAAGGTTGGTATAGATAGTTTAAGAATTACATTACAAACAAAGAAGAGCAAATACAAGACAACCAGAAATATTCTTTGGGGCATTCAAGTGTAAATATATGTATAATATTTGCGAAAAAGATGATGAAGAATTTAAAGGAGGAGAGAATTGTTGGATTTTAGAATATTGGAGAATTTGAGGATAGAAATGGTGGAAATGATCAACATGAGAAGAAGACCAACAAAAGACGCAGCAAGAGCAGCACCGCCATGATCGCAGAAGGTCTGGAACTTGTCACAAATCTTATCCCATCTCGCATGTGAATTCCCGTTCTTCCCTAATTCCGCCATGAAAGCTGCCCCATTTGCTCCCCCAGATATCACCGCAACATTCATCTGTTACAGTATTTTCAATATTTTTTTTACTCAATTAATATTTTTGAGTAAAAGTTTCTCGATAAAAAGAAAATCAAATGTATTCAAATGAGATTTTTTTCGAAGATATTATTAATAAGGTAGACCCATGCTTCGAGTTGTTTTAGATTCTAAATAAACTCAGAACACCCAAAAAATTTAGGAAACATATGAATTCACATTTCTTACACCCAAAGCAGTCCTTTATTTTTAGAGCATAAACAATTTGCTTAACTTTACATCATCATTTCTAATACATCTGTGAAAATTAATATTATTTTCACATCTTTTGAAAATTAAAAAGATCATGCGAAGTTTTATCCTTGTATTTTTTTTAAAAAAATAATATTATTTATTTTTACTGTAAAAAATCATTAAATGTATGTATTAGCTGATTAACTATTAAATATTTTCAATTCGTTGAAAAAGTATTGTTAATTACGTAAACAAGATGATTAATTAAGCAAAAGATTTAAACTATGAAATTAATCAGTACCATGTCTAGTATGGCAATAATGGGAAGTCGGAAGCCTTTGTAATCGAGTCTCCGTCCAAACAACTCTGCGGCTAGCATCAACAAGTTATGGAGACTGACTATTCCATTCGCTATCACAAAGAACCTGCACATATATACATACATGTCACACAACTATTCATTTTCATTATAATATATATATATATATAATTTTTTTTTAAGTTCTCACTGATAGTAATCATACCCATCTAAATCCCACTAACTAAACCTACTGGTTTCTTTTTTTTTTTCTTCATGGAATTAAATCTACTGGTTGAATATTGTGAATGAAGAACTTTTATATCAGCATTATACATATATGTATATATATGTAGAAATAAAGAGAAAGACTTTACACAAACGCAGGAGTATGATGAAACTTGGCGCTAATAGTGGCAGTGATAGGAGTAGTTCCGACGGTGGCAACTACAAGCGTTTTAGTTTGCTTATTGAGAGCCATGATGATGGTTGCAGACATGGTTGCGCAGAATGCTAAAACCCTAATCACAACCAAAACGACGCTCCACACCCACTTTTTCCTCTCGCTTGGCTTCACGGCAGCCTCAGCAGAGTTACTCGACCCAGTCGCCTCTCGGACTTTCTCAACATTAGCTGCTGACGACATGATAAGAACAAGAACAAGAACAGAAAAACTCAAGCAGAAAGATTAATGGTGTTGAAAAAAGAGAGGAACTGGTGTGCTTTTGGTGCAGTATGTTAACTAATATGGGCAGATTGAGGGTAGAGAGATATGTATGACATGAGCATGAGTGTGTACATATATCTATATATATATGCTTCTGGTAAGTGAATTGTTTGTCTATATATATATATTTATATGTACACAGAAACACACGTATAGGGCAGGCGATGGAAGAAATTGAAGAGGGAGTGGAGTGTTATGTAGTTTTTTTTGGCTGGTCTAACCATTCACTTAACTTTAATTAATGAAATTAAGTAGGTTTAGTTAGTTGAGAAATGTATTTAACCCCCGGTTCTCTGTATTTGTATGTTTATTTTCTTTAACCAAAGGTGTTTTTGTGTATAGTTTTTACTTGGGCTTGGGTAAGTTCATATATACATATATACATATATGAATATATGCATATAATCTGCTGGCAATTAGGATGGTGCATTTGTCAATATCAATAATCAACTTATTTTAACAAGAATAAAATGTTAGTTAACTTTTTAATTAATGGGTTATTAATTATCTTTAAGTTTTCTTCGGTTGTTATTATCTTTTACAGCAAAGTTGATTGTGTTTGGCAAGTGAGAAAATGGAGGAAAGGCAGGTAGACTTGGAGAGAAATTTGAAGCTAAGTTATTTGACTTAATGATTTTATTTATTATTATTTTTAAATAAATAATTTTATTTTTTATAGAATAAAAAATTATTTAATGGGTTTCAGTTTATTTCCTTCAACTACCAAAAACTGTCAGTCAACGAGTCAAGGAAGCAATCAATTCAGCAAATCTTCATAATTGGCAACCTCCGTCAATCATATTAATTTATGCTGCGAATCTTTAAAACCATATTGATTATAAATTATAATTAATTACTATTAAAAAGATCATTATTTATTAATAAAAATAATTAAAAAGATCATTAGTCGTAGTTTTGTTATTTGAAACGGCGGCGTATCTTGTTGTTGATCATGCTTCATTTTCTTTGGCTACATATTTTAGTGTATGTTTTTAAGTATAATCAAGTGAGATTTTATCGAATGTTTAATACAAACTAGATCGATACTCAAGCAATTTGCTTTTAACTTTATGTCCATCCCGATGTATTATCATTTTTAATATGTCCGTTAGGTTATGTTTGGATACATTATGTACGTACATCATACGATCGTATCATAAATTTTTTAATGTCATAAATTATCAATCAAATTAAATTTATAAATAAATCATATATTTAAACATTACATGAATCAATAGTTTATTTTATCAGAAATTTTTTAATCAATTTATTTTTGGATCAAACTAATAAGAGAGTCAAAATACTATTTTCAATTAATATATTATATATTTCACGTTTTCTAATAATTGATTATGCATAATTATAAATTTAGAAATAAATTGAAATGCTAGGATAATGATTTCTCACCTAAAACCAAAAAAATATATATATATATACTTATAATTAATTATTTACAATTAAATATGAGTAAGAAAATTTATTTCTATATTCACAATACAACATGATTTATGTACCTGTTTATTTTCGGACATAATACAATGTAGATATATATATATATATATGCACGTGCTCGGGATATGGAATTTCCTCAGGGAATATCTCATGTAACGTTCCCTTCACAACCTCATTAAGCAAACATAATAAAGTCTCCATCAATATCTCACACAATATAAATATAGGAATTATAATACACCCATGAATTATATTATATGAGAAAAGAAGCTAACTCATATAAGTCTACCAACCAAACATTATTTCCCAGTATATCATCACACACAAATGACAAAATAGTTCCCTTTTCCTACTCCCTCACCTCAAAATGTAAAAAACACACTTTTCAATCCCTTTGGACCATTCTCATGTTGCAATTACTTCTGTAAAATGATGAGATATACATAACTACGCCAATATTAATATACACAAACCAATTTTCATATCCATCAATCCGGCAAGTATCATAACAAGGATTCAGAGCCTCATCTCTACTGATACCAAACAAAACAAGGATATAATTCTCAGATTCATCTGGTCATTTTTTGTCCGTTGTCACGCCAACTACGACATTGCTCACCTGCAATATCAACAATTTTCTCCGTTAAACTTTTATTTCAGATTCTTCATGTGCACAATTCATTTTGCTCATTTAAGAAGAATAAAAGTATAAACTAGAAAGGGAAATGAAACAAAGGAGTTAACTTGGAAAAAGTTTACCAATTTTCCACTTTCATCAAGGGACATCGGGTTTTCAACAACAACAGTTTGGCTTTGTGAATGGGGCATTGACTGCACAGGATAAAACACCAAAAGCACCTGAGGTAAACCCACTGACTGAAATATTTAGGTTGGCACGTAATAAATTTTCATGAACTTACAGTTGAAGTAGAGGGCATTTGTCCAGCAGTGGTCCCGTTGGGTCTGTTTGCTGGTAGAGGAACCCTTACATTGGCCATCTGAGAATGTTTTCAAGAGAGAGAGTGGATCTTTTAGAAAACATTTTGCAATGTCTATAATGATATAGAACTCCCAAGGGTCCAATTTGTTGTGGCACAGTAGGCAAAACAAGAGAATCATTTGGTCCATAAAAATGTGTTTCAGTCTAACTAACTCGAACATAATGAGAATGGCAATGACAAAAACATAACATTCATCTTTGAAATCAAGTATCAAGTATCAATTGTTAAAATAAATAGGCCAAACAACGCTAATCTGAGTCCACCCTCGCTAAAGTGCATATGTTATTCAGATTAGTAAACCAAACAAATTTTGAGCTCAAGATCATTCCTTGAATAAACAAGCCAAACAAAGCAGTTAACATCTGATCAAAGAGCTCCGTTGGTACAGAACCTTATAGTCTAAACTGCTTTCTTCTTCAATTTTTTTTAAGGAAAAACCCACTTCATTTTGAAGCAAACATAACAGAAGTGTTCATGGGCATTTTGGTAGTTCCAGTCATACCAAGATTCCCAATTCCTAATTTCACAATAGCGCAAGCCAGATGCACAGAATCCAACAGAAATTTTAGATAGAGCCAAAAAGCAGCTTAAAAAAATTAAAAAACAAGTCTACTCACCCCGACATTAGTAACATAGTGACACAGAGCACATTTAACTGATGGAGCTCCATATGGGTACATAAGTGTTGTCCGACAGTGAGCGCAGTTGATATGAGCAACAGGATTTGATGCTTTTTCCACACAGATAATAAATTAAACAAAAAAGTCAGGTAAGAAGCTTAAGACCTAAAATTGGAAGGGAAGAACTAAAAAAGCAACACAAAGGCTGCAAATAAAAATCTAATGAAATGCATGCAATATCCACATCCAATTAAAAGAATGCTCACAGAAGATTTTCTTGTTTGATTGTCACAGGAAAAATCTCACATATCATCAATAAAAGACAGAACAATAGGATGGGGCATCTAATAGACCTTCTAGAATAAATTACTGGCTGACTAAAAATATTAAAATGACAGTTCTTTCCAAAATATTCTGCAAAATCTTATAAAGTACTATCTTACTATCTTACCTCAGCCCTTGTGTCAAGAAGACATTATTTGCAAGTCAAAAAGGAAATTTCAGATATAAGGAGTGAACAATTAATGCAAAAATTGATCCATTGACAATAATAAATTAACTCTTGTTGATAATTCTCATATTGTACCTGGTGCAAGATTTACTGTGTGACAGCAAGAGCATCTCACGCTAGTTGCCCCACGTGTGTACATCAGTAGTGTCCGGCAACCTCCACATATAAGTTGAGCCATTTCCATTCCTGTACGGGTTTTACACATATTTTTAGGTGACCAAAAACTGAAAATCTTACAAAAATAAATCTTTGTCATTAATGCTAATAAATATTTGCATAATTTGAGTTGCTCTCCACTAATTGAAAGAAATAGAGTCGATTGTGAAATTCACACATTACATCTCCTTTTTCTTAAATATAGTTAAGGTCAAGATCAATTTATGGTCTGAACTTAAAGGATATGCAACAATTAATTCTGGTTGTTTCAGTTCTAACAATTGACTACGTAAGCAATCAAGGTCTTCACTGCTACAATAGAAATAATAAGAGCTCATTTTTTATAAGATGCTTGTACTTATTTGGATTGCACCATCTTACTGCGTAATACACAAGTTCTTTTCTTTCCCAAGGAAAACAATTTGAAGTAAATTTTCATGCATCCTTAAATTAGTAGCTAAAAATCATATACTCCTCCCCAAGTTAGAATAATTTCAGTAAAGAAGTAATTTAATAGCACTGAGTACTTTTTTTAAACGAAAAGAGATTATTGTGAAGAAAGGGAAGAAAAGAACATCAGTGGAGACTAGGCATCCTACAAAAGGAAACGAAGAAACAAAAAAATGATCAATATAAAACAATCAGTCAATCTCTTTGTGGAATACACAATGAAACGTCCTTATACAGTCCATTCACCTCAGCCCAAAGAAAGTATTTAGCTTTTAACTCTAAATTCCGAAATCTTCTTCCATATCTGACATTTCTCTCATTGATCCCATATTCAACTGCTAAGTTCTCTAAATTCCCATCTCACAAAATTGTAGTTGCCTTCTTCACTTTCATCAAAAGACTATAAATTGGAGATTCAGCATCAAAGTAATGCACACTGGAGGGCTCATATGAATGGCAAATAAGGGTAATGTTAATACCGCCTCATATACTTCCTCTTACTGGCGTTTGAGTCCTTTGATGCTACCCTTCTGGTATTAGTTTATAATACATTCACTCTAATAGCATGATAGCTTCTAGATTGTATTACATTATAGTACATCAAGCATCAGTGGGTGCACTCATTTCCCCACAAACGCTTCATAGAGATGTTTTTAATCCTAAGAAAGCATTCAACATTGTTTACAATTGCTGAAACATATAAATCCAACAATAATTAGAACTATATATGAAGCTTAAACGCTGAGCAAGCGTACAAGGTGGTTTTTCACAGTACTGGCAAAGGTATTTTGATCATTGCAAAGATGTAGGTCCTACATCTTGGTCCCGTCTTGAATTTCAGATTATGAGAACTTTTAAGGTCTTGATAATTTGTAACTGAACAATAAAGAACCATGTTGATCAATTACCCCCTTCGAGCCACAACAAATTAATCTCCTCAACCAAAGTTTCTAAATGCTTTATCAAATTGTGTTGAGAAGAGGTTCAAGAGAATAGTTTAGCATAACGTCGGCAGTAAAATAAAATTTCATTCACATCACATGCCAAACGTTTGAAAAGAAAATTAGAAGTAAACTGTTGAAGAAATATACAAGCATGGAAACATCTAGACAAAGTGAAATAAGATAAGAAACAGAGCAAATAAGATATACCGGGAGGAGGGACAGTGGTAACTGCATTACATATTGCACAGCAAACGTTTGCAGCCCCTCTAGGATAGACAAGAATGCTCCTACACCCACTACACACAAGCTGGCTTTGCATAGCTGCAATTGACAAAAAGGAAAAAGAAAGACAAAAACTACATCAGCTTTATCAAGACAAATATATATTTTCTCTAGGCATCTGTAATCAACAGAATTGTCTTTCTTTAACATAGCTCTAAGCTAACACCCATTTAACAAATTCATCTCATTCCTATAAAATACAAAAACATCAAAATTAATATTTGAATCACTCAAGCAGCGGATTTCACTCTTTAATCTCACAGCTTTTTGCAGGTGAAGCATAAACGATGCCCAGGATTTTCCACCCTTCAAAACATTTAAAAAAAATTGATTCTAAAAAATTTTAAAAACGAAAAAAGAACACAGACAAAGGGAAAGGGGATAAATCATATCGATCAGGTTTTCCGAATCTCGAAATCAAAACAAAAACAGAGACACGGTTATCGATCGCATGTAAGCCACAGATAGAACATGCGATTAACTTGAGATTGACCCACCAAAAAAAAAAAAGCTTAAAAAAATCACCTGATTTCCCCGAAGAAGTGGGAACGCAAATGCGCAATTCAAATCAAATTCAAAGTCCGCCCTTCTACGATAACAAAATCGACCGAGTTCACGAACTAAACCCAGAAACCGTAAGCAACAATCGCTATATTGTAATTATCAAAATTCTTAAAATTACTATTACAGAAAGAAAAAATAAAAAACTTGTCACTTGCCCCCTCCTTCCTACCTTTGAGATGGCCAGGAATTGATTTGAAGACTGACAATGTAGCTGTAAAAAAAATACAATAAAATAAAACTAAAATGAAAGGAAAATTAAATTAGACCTGGGCTTTTTATGGAATTTACCAAAATAGAGAAATATTAATTGAAAAATCAAAGGGAATGGATGGAGATTAGAGTCTGAGAGTGGTTTGGAATGGTAATTACAAGTGGGTTGGGGTCAGAGGGAATGGAGAAATCGGGTTTACGCAAAAGGCGAAGATGTGCGTCTATGTTTTTGGTATGCAAAATAGGATAACGAAGAAGCAAAGAAATCCTCTTGAGAAAATTCTTTCACAATCTCGTTAAGGATGGGGATAGAATCTGTCAACGACAATAAACAATTATATAAATAAATAATTAGGTAATTAATTAAAGGGATTATCTCTTTAATTTATTATTATTATTATATTATGCTCCAATTAATTGAGGACCTGGGCCCATTATTTATGGGCTCTAGAAAATGTTATTAGCCCATTGGGTTACCGTTAATAGAGTTTTTATTTTTTATTTTTAAAATTTGTATCTAATTTTAGGATCCGTTATTAAATATAAACGAGGTAAAATTCGTGTTATAGAATAAATAGGTTCGGGTTTACAGACCTCCTCACTAAGAACACAATTGCCAAAAAATAAAGTCACGATACCACCATTTATTCATAGATAGTATAATAAGTTATCTTGAATCCTAATTTTCGTTATTTTTTTTAATTAAAATCAATGTTTATTTTTTCAGAAAAATAAATAGAACAATGGGTAATGTTGCATTGCCTAACAGAGTTCAGTCTAAGAACACAAATCAATTTCGAGGGAGATCAATAAATAAAAAATTTAGCTTTAAAACAAAAACTCAAACTACATTTTCAGTAAAGTTCTCTGTTTTACAAACTATATTTCTTCCCGCAGGTAATCTTGCTTTAATTTGAGAAAATTTACAGTTGAAGAAGCCACTTTGCATTTGACAGATTGCCATTATTGCCTTTCCCACATCATATGCGTCGAAGAGAGGCCAACCTCTTCTCAAGATCCTCGACATCAGTAGAAGATTCAGAACTGGGACAGAATCAAAACAAATAGTTACAAACATAAAAAACATTATGTGCTTGGGAAAGAATTCAAACCGTGGATAATCTAAGAGAGAGAAAAAAAAAAAAAAAAAAAATCCCTCGTGGTTTTCCCTTGTGTCCTCGATACAATGAGATTCCATTTAATATGTAAAATATTTTTTAGCTTTTATTTTTAAAAAAATTTATACCTATTTTATTCACAAAACATACAATTTAATAAACAATAAAGAGAACAACGTTGAAAACAATGATAGAAAGATAAATTTTTAAAATGTTGTTTTTAGTATTTTCTCAAAACTATTTTCTTTGTGTTTTCATTATTCCGTAAGTATGTAACTCGCATACACTTCGATGAATAAAAACATGCATAAATGCATGAGTTTAAAAAATAAAAACTAAAGAATATTTTTATATACTAATTGGAGGCTGAATCTCCATAAGGAGGTCTGAAGGTTTGAGGAATTCTGTGTTTAGTATTGCACTCTATTTGTCCAGGGTCTCTGCGGTAGTATCTGATTGATTCTGGATATAAGGTATGCATAGAGATAGTAAACCTTAGTTTACACACAATCACACAAAAATCAAGAGAACGATCACTAATTGATTTATAAACTTTAATATACTCAAAATACTAGAATTTTTCCCAACCAAAAAATCAAACTAGTTTAATATGACTTGAACCAGTTTAATATAACCTAAACCGAATCAAACTAGTCAAATCAAAATTCAAACCATATCAACAAATCATCTCTTTAGCTTGAATTCCCTCTATCAACATCAACTGATAAGAAAAATCATCTCATCACATTGTCTTGCCAAAATGCCCTCATAGGGGTACTATTGAGTATTACATAGACAGTGCCTAAACTTACTAATTAGGATCGTCTTGATCATCATATCTGCAAGATTCTCACGTGTAAATACTTTATGCACAATTATAATACCCCATTATACAATGTTCAAAATCAAGTGATATCTGACATCAATATGTTTGGTCAGCTCATGGTACTCTGCTTTCTTGGTGAGATATATGACACTTTGACTATCACAAAACACAGAAAATTTCTTTTGTGTCAATCCAAGATCACTCACCAAACCCTGTAACCAAATAGCCTCTTTTTACTACTTTTGTTAGAACCATATAATCAACCATCTATAGTAGACAAAACAACTGTAGCTGGTAAAGTCGCCTTCCAATTGATAATACTACCAGAAAAAGTAAATAAGTAACCTGCAAAGATATCCTCCTATTCAAATCCCCTGCATAGCCTGAATCCACATGGCTTACAACTAAGTCACCCATCTTGGCTTTGTCAAATGTCAATCACACATCTACAGTACCCTTTAAATACCTCAAAATCCATTTCACTATTTGTCATTATTGTTTCCCAAGATACGTTACGGATCTACTCACTACACTAACTACATGAGAAATATTAGGACGAGTGCAAACCATTGCATACATGCTGCTCTACCTACAATACTCGAATATGAAACACTAGACATATGTTTTATGTCCTCATTTGTCTTTGGTGGCATGCTTGTAGATAACTTGAAATGGGTAGGCAATCGAACAATCAAGGGCTTAGCATTACTTATGTTGAACCGTTGCAGTACCTTCTCAACATAGGATTGCTGAGATAGGAAAAACTTTC